ACATGCTAAAATGATATGAAAAACCCACTGTCTCTGTGTTGTGTAATTGTCAATAAAATGAATTGCAATAGAGCACAGTTTAAGATAAAAAAAAAAGACATTACATTTATCAAATTGTCTTTTATTAAATCATTTTTTGATCAAATCAAATGATGAACATAAGTAAATCATTTTGGTTTATCATGTGTTTCATTATTTTTTTCTAATTCATCCATAGATAAGCAAATATTAACTTTATTGATGTGAATAATAGTTGCAAATAAGTGAAATGGGGCCATTCACATATTATGTCACATTATTACCCCCTCAAAAGCAAACACTTTATTACATATCACATATTTTACCTCATCCAGAAATCATGCAAGTGAACTGACACAAAGCAAATAAGATGTTTTATTGCACAAACATTGTTAGTTACTTTGTGCTACTGAACTTAAACTTTCATTTAAAACACATACATTAATGTCTATAACAGAAATTTGACTAATTGACTAGCAATTTTAGTAACTTTAACATTAGTTAAATCTACATGTCTTTTTCACACCACTACTTCTTCAGTTTCTTCTAAATTTTTAATCAGAATCATTCTGATTCTGATTAAAAATGCAATAGTACAATGAATGAAAGTACAATAGTGTTCAATCAGGTTGCATTTGAACATTATTGCACTTTTTCCTGGCATATTATTATGTGTGGCTTCAAACTTCTGATTGATGAATATGGTACATTTTTTGCACACTCGGTCACTCCAAAAAAGATTGTTTACTGAAAGGCAAAAGGCATTTGTATGAGGCCAGTTTCCTGTCGGGATGAGGCTGAGACTGGCTGTTCAACTAAAGCCAATAAATGGTGACTTATTTCATAAACAGGACTGGGTCTGCAAAGGAACAGGATGCAATGTGATTTAATTGTCACATTCCCAAGCCTAATTGACACATCCCTGGTCGTAGATCATGTGTAAGAGCAGGCAATCTCCTTGCACAGAGTTTAAAGCAGAAAATGCAGATGCTTAGTTGGAGGGGGCAGTGGCTGGGACTGACAAGACCCAGCTGCATTTTCTCTGGGAAGAATACATTTGGCTGAAATTTATGGAACAGTCATGCAGGGAAGAGCCCCCAATTTGGAGGGCAGCAGCCTGGGTGGGAGGGTGTTTAATGACCCCATGACCCGAATCATGCCCCTGGCAACAGACCAGGACCACTTGTGGCCGTCGGCCATAAAATTGTATAAAATATTAATTTTAGTTAGTTTTAAGTTTCTTTGTTCCTTTATTTCTTACTTTTCTAGAACTTTCCTTTCCAACCTTTTTCCCTTGGGTGGGATTAACAATCCCAAGAAATGGGAATGAAACAAAGGGTGAAGTGGGACCCTAAGGCGAAAAAGTAGAAACGAAAAGGAGTCGAGGTCGAGCTCTCGAGGAGAACTGACGAGAGAAGGTAGTGTTCCGGATCGCTTGTAAGACGATCGGAGACTACGAAGCTAAAAGAAGAGGTCTGGGCTCGAAGACGCAGAGTAAGGACGGAGAAGTGGTATAGCTTCAGATTGAGTGTGAAACAATTGGAAGCTACAAGGAGCCAGCGAACCGATAGGAAGAAACTCCTATAACAGAACTTTAGAGGAAGCCATCGAAAGAGTCGTACGAAACGATATAAAGGAAGGACGAGAGACAACGTTCCACGGAAAGGTCCACGTGGTGTCCCACCCAAGGTTTCGAACTCAAAAATCCCGGGTATTTCCATCTCCCTCTTATGCTTTATTATTTTTCTAATCTCTTCTTCCCTTTTTAGTCGTAAGTAGTGTAAGAATTAGTTATAAGTTTTTTGCCTCGCGTATAGTCGTAATTCTCAATTAATCCGCTGTTTGTTAGATCAAATTAACGCATGTACGTACAGAGATTATTGTATTGTTGGGATCTGAAGAAAAACGAACCTGTTCGAAGCGACAATAAATATCTTTGTGTTAAAGACATCCAACGTGTATTTATTTCGTGCTTTTCCGCTCGCGGGACATTGTACTTGTCGCAACGAAACACCACA